ATGCTTAATGAAAGTGAACGATATCGGGTCACAACACACGGACTATTACTTGTTTTGCAAAATTATTGGAAAAAGTCATGTATAGGAGATTAATTAAATTTATAGAAAAAAGTAAAATATTAAGCAAGCACCAATATGGTTTCAGAGAAAATAGATCTACTGAGCTTGCAGTCATTGAACTTACCGATAGAATTACTAAAGCGATTGATAAAGGAGAATATACAAATAGGTATATTCCTCGATTTGTCAAAAGCATTTGATACTATTAATCACAAGATTCTGGCCCAAAATTAGAACATTACGGCATACGTGGAGTTACTCAACTATGGTTTGACAATTATTTAACAAACAGAAAACAAATTGTCAAGTACAATCAAACTAGGTCAGAAGAAATGACAATTAAAACAGGTGTCCCACAGGGTTCAATTCTTGGACCTATTTTATTTTTACTTTATATAAATGATATTGAACATAGCAGCAATTTACTTTCGTTTATACTGTTTGCAGATGATACTAATATCTTTTATAGCAACAGCTGTCTTAAATCACTAAATAAGGTCATACAAGAAGAGGTGAATAAAGTGGCAGAATGGTTAAATGCAAATAAACTATCTCTAAATATTAAAAATACCAAATATATTATATTCAGATCTACAAATAAGAAATTAAAACAAAATGTAAAAGTTAGCGTAAATAATGTAAACATAGAACATGTCAAATGCATAACCTTTCTTGGTATAACAATTTATGAGTATTTGACTTGGAATAACCATATAACTGAGGTATCAAATAAAATCACAAGAGCCTCGGGAATAATAGCAAAAATAAGACACTTGATAAACAGAAATTCACTGAAGCTAATTTATTACACATTAGTGTATCCATATCTTATTTATGGCAACTTGATTTGGGGTAATACCTACAAAACCCGAATTCAAAAAATATTGAATATTCAATAAAAAATTGTGCGTTTGATAACTTTTAGATCTTACTCGGAACACACAGAACCTATATTCAAAGAATTACGCATTTTAGATATTTTCAAAATAAATGATTACCTAATTAACTGCTTTGTTTATGTATCGATACTATTATCTTAAAAATTTACCAGAAGCATTTGAAAATTATTTTATAACAAACAATGAAATTCATAACTACAATACAAGAAGTGCAGCAAAACTACACAAGTGTTGTAAAAGAACTAATTATGTCATACACTCTTTCTAAGGGGTTAATCTATGGAATACATTAGATACAAAATTCAAAAGATTAAACTCCTACAATGTCTACAAAAGATTAATCAAACAACATGTTATAGTGAGCTAGATCTTCTTCAAATTATATGCAATGACCACAGATATACAGCAACCTTAATTCTATAGCGAAAATTGTGTAATCTTGTAACTGTATATTATGATATAATATCCTTCTTTTGTAAATAGTATATACTTTTAGGTCTTACTTCAATAATTACTCTTCACTGTAAATATATATGCAATTTTTTTAAACCTAACTAGTGGCCTACATTAAAAAGCCTGAAAAGGTTTCCAGTAGGTCTCTAGCCCAACACCTTCAAACTACACATAGTATTTGTTACTTATTATTGTACATACACATGGGAAATAAATATATATTGATTGATTGATTGAATATAAGCCCCCACCCCCTCATATATAAGCCCCCCTTGTGTAATCCCATCAAAAATTGCTTACGAAAGAATATAAGCCCAGGGCTTATAGTCGGAGATTTATGGTAGATTGTCAAAAACTGCAGAGCTGATAAGATGGTGCCCATGGGATACAATACTTATGGTAGAATGGGGGAAGTGAGGACAACACATGCAGTACAAGAAGACTTGAGTAGGGCCAAGAAGCTCACCAGCTCTATCATTATACAAATAAAAGAAATGTCAGTATCACATCAGACACCAATAAACAATTTTTTCAGCTTCTGTCAAACATTTTGTTTGAATGTCTTTCTTAACCAATTGAGTGGCAGCACTCTCCCCCTAATGAGTAAATAGTCTAACGTTAGACGGTAAAATAATCTGGCGTTAGGTAGAGTAAAATAATAGACAACTGGTTGATCATTTGAGCATAGATAACTGGTTGATCAGTATAAATTCTTGCAATGCATCACACAGTAGTCAATACATGCTCTGACCACTGGGCGCTTCTCCATCCAAGGCCGACGAGAGAGGGGGGCAAGGGGGAGGCAAAATACCCGGGGCCCGGAGTATTCATTTATGTTTGTCCTAAATAAAATACGCTTACTTGTACACAATCCGCTGATCGTTATTATCGATCGTAAAACATACCAAATGTGAAATAAACGATTTTTCGATTGTTTTCTCAGCAAAAACAGTTAGCTGAACATCGTTCACATTGCGTTTTTATCAGTTATGCGGCGATTTCTTGCAAGTAATTCGCTGGCAATTCTCTCGTTGATTGCGATTAAAAATAACCGGCGGGAGAGTCGAGAGGGACAGGGGGCCCGTGCTCACCAATCATCATTTTGTCCCGGGACTCGCGCTCGTGTTTGGCTCTCGCCGGCCTTGCCTCCATCATTCGGTGTGTATGAATGTCTGACATTGTCTGTCAGGGCAAACAGGATTTATTGATAGATTAAAACAGTTACAATCAGTTGGCTGACGTAATTCTATTGGTGGAAGTACACTATCCAGCTCATCATCTTGACTATCTGGTCACAAGGTGGAATTGCTTGGGATTTTGGTGATGTTGAAATGTCAAACTCCCACAACACAACATTTGTTATATTCTTTGTTTATACCTCCTTCCCGTCGATCATTAGGGTCGAAGAACTACATGATATGAAATAAAAATACGTTTAATACTGTAGTATTACAACAATTTTAATATATATCATCTTACCTTAAGAACACAACTAGGGTGATTTTAATTGTACCAGTGCAGGACTCCTGGCAGGACTACTGCAAGCAGCGAACAATTTCATCAATTTTTATCCCGGTTTTTAACCACAGCTGCATGGACAAAGGACTTTCTCCAAACTATCCGCATAAAAACTATAAAGGTTTATAAACATTACGACGTTCAAGTTCATGACACGGTAATCCATCCGCAATCAAGATTAAAGGCGGTTTTGACACACAGTGAACAAACGGAACAGAAGCTTGTGGCTTTCTTTCCATGCATAGTGCAACAATTCACTATTTTACAATTTTTTATACCAAGCCATGTTGTTTTTAGCGAGAAAACGACGGCTCCCTCATCGGAGCTTAAGTAAAGGCATGTGCAACTGATTTCCTTTGTAAACTATGCCTCAGTCTTCTGTATAGTTATATTAATGTAAATAAAACTTGTGTAAGGCATGCGATAAGCTTTTATCGAAGTAAAGAGACCCGCTAACTCAAGACACGTACGCAGCAGGAGGCGAAGTAAACAAATATGGCACAACACATCAAGGCAACGTATGAAAATTACATGCGGTTTACAGAGCACTTTCATTTCCTTTTGAACAACTAGCCATTCATGTAAGTCAATAATTGGTAAATTAAATTTTCCCCGTGAGAATTTTCCATCTAGTGCACTCTAACAATCTCATTTTCTCCAATAAATTGGCCGATTTCTCTTGCGCTGTTAAAATTAGGGGGGGGGGGGGGGGGTTGTCAAGGGGGAATTGTTTATATCTACATTATCTTACTTAGGGACCCATAGAAAGTCATTTTAGGCCTTCCACGTGACCGTGTAAATCACAAAGTCACATCAAAAGTTATGCCAACCTGGAGCCATATTTCTCTATTTAGATAAATGCTGTTAGGTTGTAAGGAATTTTATGGTCAAGATGAGATATATATCTTCATATTTCTATGACACTAAGTTCCAATTACGTAATTGAAACCTTAGCGGGAGCAAAATACTTATAGTCGATTGCGTAGTGGGAACTTTTAAAACAATTAACGTTGCGTATCAATGTCATCAATTCGTACATAACTAAATGAAAATAAAACCTTGAAATATAAACATGAAAAAGTACATAAAGTAAATTATATTTTAAATCGATTTTATGAATTATTGAACCATGCCAGAACTGACCTACGGAAAACTGATCTGACCGTAGCATATGCTACAGTTGCAACGGTCTAAATCCGCCCCTGCAGTATCTGTTACAGAAACTTCATTACTATCTGTTACGAATGAATGGAATTTAAATAGGAACAAAGGGTACCTAAATGGAGTTGTTTTTCCTGACCTAAAGAAAGCATTTGATTGCGTAGACCACAGTATCCTACCTAGAAAATTAGAAGTTTATGGCATACATAAAAGGGGTTGAACTAAATTGATTTAAATCATACTTTTCAAATAGAATCCAAAGGTGTAAAATTGGACAAACTATTTCGCAGCCGCAAAAAAATCGCAGTGAAGTACCCCAGGGTCTAACTTGGGTCCTCTGCTATTTCTTCTTTATACTAGAAATACATGCATGCAATAACCCCTCGCCTGTTTTCAAAAGATGTATACTCAGTGCCATTGCGAGCAGGGGGTGTGTGAGGTTAGTGGTGCCCAAAATGTTCGGTGGTGACCAAAATGTTTCCAGATGTACAAAATTTTTTCAGGACATATAATAAACTCATAAACTCATAAACTTTATTACATATCCCTCCCTCGAAAGGGTTTTTCAGTGATACAATACAATACAATAAATTATTTAAATATAGTACAGATATTCTAAAAATATATTTACAATCAATTAAAAACTAGTTATATAAATGTAATTTAAGAAGTCAGAAAGTGTTTGTGAAGTTTATGTTTAAAAGACTTCAATGACTGTTCGGATATTTAATCTCCGGCGGTAGCGAGTTCCACAATTTTGCCCCTCTGAAACTAAACGTTCGCTGTCCCGTAACAAGGCGACAAAGTGGCAAGTGTAAGTCATTAACATTCCTCGTGACTCTGGAATGCACCTCGGAATTTCTTTTAAATTTTTCTGACAGATAATATGGAGTCAGATGGTGTAGCGATTTAAAAACAAGCACTGCATCTCGGAGATACAATTGGTCTGTAATATTCAGCCATTTGTTTGAGTTCTTTCAGGGCAGGAGAAACATGATCATATTTCCGTAAACCAACAACAATACGAGCAGCAAAGTTTTGTACAAGTTGCAACTTTTTTACATTTTCTTTAGAAGTGTTGCTCCATACGGAAGAACAGTAGAATAATCTACTAAAAACTAGAGAGTGTATAACAAGTAAAAGGGTCTTTCGATCTAAAAGGTGTTTGACGCGATTTATTTGGAATAATGAGTACATGCACGAAGATACTGTTTTATCAACATGATGTGTATACGAAAGACATGAATCCAAGTGAACGCCAAGATCTTTAGCAACACGAGTAGGTTCGATTTGTTTGGACAGAAGTTTAATGGAGAAACCTGGTAGCTGTTGTAGGCGCTGACGAGTACCAAAGGCGAGAACTTTAGTTTTCTCAGGGTTGATTAGGAGGGAGTTGCCACAGCACCAAGAACATAACTGGTCAAGAACTTTGTTGATTTGGCCTATAGCTGAAACCAGGTCATGTAAAACAAAACTAACGTAAAGCTTGCTATCGTCAACATAACACTCCGGCTTACAGTTAACAACTGACGATGGTAGGTCGTTGACATACACAGTAAACATCAAAGGTCCCAAAATAGATCCTTGGGGTACTCCGTGAGATAGTGGGAGTCGTTGCCATAGAAACTCTCCCAAACGTACTTTTTGAGATCTATTTGTCAAGTAGCTGGAAAACCATTTCAAAGCACTTGGAGCCATTCCAATATTCCATAATTTATTTAATAGAGTTTCATGATTGATGCTATCGAAGGCTTTCGAAAAATCAATTAGGACCATAATGGTAATCAATTTTTCGTCCATTGCTTTCAAAATATCGTCAGTAACTTTGAGTAAGGCTGTTTCAGTTGAATGTAATTTCCTGTTTCCATTTTGATGCGCAGAGAGTTTACCTTCGGAACATAGGAAGTTATTGTATTGACCGTGAGCCAGCCTTTCGCAGATTTTAGACATAACTGGCAACAATGAAATTGGGCGGTTATTACATGCTAACTCTTTATCTCCTAACTTGGGGATAGGGATGACCTCTGCGATTTTCCATTCCTGTGGAAAGTTGCTGGTGGTAAAAGAGCAGTTTATCATACTGGTTATCGTAGACAGAATAACAGACAGGCCATCTTTTATCACTCTAGCTGGTAATTTGTCAGGACCAGCAGCTTTTGTCAGGACCAGCAGCCATCTTGTGTGTAATTCATATTGTTCTTCACCGAGTATTTCATAATAGTGATAGATTTCATGCAAACAATCCGATAAAATGCTGGTTCCAAGAGGAATAGATTTAGTTTAGATTTTAACTGTTAAATACATGTAAGAATGTTTGAAACTCAGTATTGGAAAGATGCACAATTGTTGAATTGGATCGACATATTTTTTGTACCATTTTTGAACGTTATTTCAAGTTCTGTACATAGACTGCAATAGTTATGGTGGATACAATTAATTGATCAATTTAACAAGAAACAGAGGTAGATAGTCTGTTTTACCCAGTTTGTCTTTGACGAGTAAAAATTATATGTCATGAGACACAGCAAAATTACAAAACAGGGCACATTGGGGCTTAATCGATCATCAAGGAGAAAGAAATAATTTGTCACTTCTAAATATGTAGTTCAGCATTAGTGCGTGTTCACATTGGTGTATAATGTGAAAATATTTACTTATATTTCTGAAATCATACCTTTTGCTTCTCCTTTTAAGCTCACAAATCTCCAAACATACACAATCTTAATGCATGATCGATATGTTTCTATAAACGTAAGATATTATGGTAATTTTCTTTATTATTCTATTGTACATCCCAAACATGTTACCATGCATGCTCTAGCGAGAATCATAGTAACACCTTACCATTAAATCATGAAGTTTGCTAACCTAAGTATCATTGTTTAGGTGATCCATCAGTACAAGATAATTTGAAAAAGTCTTCCAACATTTTGAAAGGAGAGATTGCCTTCATGAAACAACTACAGAAATGGTTGCGAGAAAAGTGTAAATGGAATCTTTGTTACAGAGCGTCCAGAGATGGTTGGAGTGCCCAAGATTTTCACAGGCATTGTGACAATACAGGACCAACAGTGGTTTTGGTAAAAGCCAATAATTGTATATTTGGTGGATACACTGATGGAGAGTGGAAAGGTATCTATAGCCCCGTTTACACTACGCTCAATTTGTGGTACGGCACGGATAAAATTGATACCCGTACCACTTTTTTGGTTCTTGGACTACCTAAATGGTCAGCTCCGTTTACACTACGCTCTATTTTTGGTACCGTACCACTTTTTTGGTTCTTGGACTACCTAAATAGGTAGTCCAAGACCAAAAAAGTGGTACGGGTACCAGTTTTATCCGTGCCGTACCAAAAATTGAGCGTAGTGTAAACGGGGCTTATATTTATACCAACTGATTTCCAAAAGTCACAACATAATGGGATTAGAATAAGATTTCTTAATTAATCTGGAAATCGACCCTGTATAGTCTATAGGATTTCTATGTTAGCTTTACAGTCAATTTCACATAACCTTTGCCTAAAATCTTCCGAAGTTCGCAAATTCGTTGCGAAAAAAAACCCCGTTTGCCCTCTAGAATCACTTAAGGTGGCAACACCAATATTCCAACTTGTTCTAAGTATGGTCGTACAGAACTGAATTAGGTATAATTTTAATTCTATTAAGAGAATGCCTGTCTATCTTCTCTGAAAATGATGAATTCTGTTCCTCATCATCAACATTTCGTTTAGTGTAGCCTAATAATTAGTAATAAAGAGAAATTTTGGCAGGGGATTCCCTAAATGTGCTAATTTTCCAATATGTTCCAAGGTGTGATTTTCAGTCTTTTGTCCAAGAACAGCAAATTCAAGGCATTTGCTTCTGCGTATTTGTTTACATTAAATGAAAGGAAGTAGTTATTTGTCCGTGAATTAATTTCATTTCTTCGTTCTGTAAACTCGCTAGAATTTCATTGATTTTCAAGGAATGACACTCGCCTGGTGCGCGCTAACCTGAAGTTCAGGCCCTATTACAGAATAGGGCCTGACACAAAACCTATCTAAACTGTGGGATTCCCGTCCACCTGGTGGACGGGAAATCTGATTGGTTGATCAGCTTCATGAAGGATTTTGATTGGTTGCAAGTTTACATAAACAACAGTTTTAAAAATAGCTCGGTCAAAGGCGACAATTAATAATACAAAGGTCAAACGCACGTAACAAATTCCATTATCGATTTCTTCGAATTTCTTTTCTTTTATGCTTTATGGCAGAAAATAAATCAAACAAACAGTATTTTGAAAGGGCTTTATCAAAATCTTGGACGAATTTTGGACACACGACGCTGAAAGAACAGCCAAACTAGTCATGTATTCGAAAGCTTGTTGTTGACAGCCAACTTAGATGTTCTGCCAACTGGCTTCGCCAGCAAAAGTCTTATTTTTAATATCAGGTCCTACCGGCGTTGTTTTCTGAGCTACATCGCCTTCTTCGTGGTACGATTGAGAATTTTATTGTTGCTGTTGTTAAAATGTTAGCCCGTTAGAGTATATCCCTGGTATATCCGCGTCCAGCAAGTTGAGACCTTGAGAAAGCTTGGTAGTCAAGCCATACACAGAACTGACTAATTGAATCTTTGTTTGCTGTTCGGTTAAATAGAGAAACGGACTCTTAATTATATAAAAGTACCTTGAATTTTTAAGTTTAATTAAAAAGCAAAATGCACACTCTGCGGACATGTTCATGAGAATATAAATTTTTTGTGTAGCGAAATCTACAACACTTGTCAATCATATTGCATGCTGTGTCTAAAAATAACATGTGGGCGTCCCACGGTCTAGACAGGTTTTGTGTCAGGCCCTATTTCAAATTAGGGCCTGAACTTCAGGTTAAGTTACCATGTTCTCATAGGTTGACATATAATTAACTAAGATTTCCGATTATACGCCACGCCTCCAAAAAACTTCTTATGCTAGGAGCGGTCATCTCATTGGACGATTCTAAATGTAATTGACGTTTCAGCAAGAATACTGGCAAAGGATTGGATAACTTTGATCTCTGACGTCACTTTCCTGTGATATTGCTCGAAACCAAATACAGTACCGTTTCGTTCCTGCGGGGAACGAAACAAAAATACAGACTTTCAGAGAATATTTTAGCTGTTTACTATCAAATATGTTTGTGAAACAGTTGATAATCTTACTGAGGAAGGCCAACGGTTTCTGAAAAGCTAAAGTATGTCGAAATCCAGCTTTGGAATAGACTATATTTTCACCTGGGAAACCGCATGAACTAAATGGATATTTACATCAACACTAGATTTTGCTCGTGCCTACAGAGCTAGTTGGATTAAAACAGATGTTAAGAAGTAAGTGAAAATGTGAATTTTGTGAATTATATTTTCATTAAAATGTTTCAGAAGGGCTGTTAATGCCAAACTACAAGTGTGACAGAGCTGTCAGTATACCCATATTTCAATGTAGATAGATAGATAGATATTTAATAAATTTCTCCCTAAAAGGGTTTTTCAGAAATTATTTACAGTTACATGCATGCAGTAATAATTAAGGTTACAAATATAAGTTTAAACAATTATCAAAGACTATATACAAAGTTTAGTTGGTTATACTAAATGTTATCTTTTGCAAGCAAATGTTTTTTAAGTGCTACCTTAAAAATTTTAAGTGAAGAGCAGTCTTTCAAGTTCTTGTCTAAATTGTTCCAAATATGGACGGCTCTATATGTAAATGATCGTTGGCCAGCTGCAGTCTTAAATAGAGGTATTTGAAGAGAGTCGTGTGTACGAGTCCTACGGTCGTGGATTGATGACCTTTTTATCAATTTGTTACAAAGGTAGTCGGGTGCTAGGTTATTCACACATTTATAGGTCAAACTGGCGTCTCTAAAATATAGTAGTTTGTCTACTGGGAGCCAATTCAATTCACGTAGAAGTGGAGTTACGTGGTCAAACTTCCTGGATTTCGTGACGATTTTGCAAGCAAAGTTCTGGATCGACTGAACTTTCTTCACGTTGGAGGCAGACGTATTCGACCACACCGAAGAACAATAAACCATTTTGCTGATGACCAAGGATGAAATGACTTCCGATAAAGTTTTTGTGTCGAAACTATTTTTTGCACGATTTATCTGACATAATTTGTTCATACACGACGAGACAAGAAGCGAGACATGTTTGTCGTAATTTAGGTGTCTATCTAATGTGACACCTAAATCTTTAGCAGAGTCCACTGGTTTAAGAGACTTGCCCAAGAATGAAATTGATGTGTCTGTAGGTAGTTTGCTCATCATCTGCCTTGTTCCGATCATCATGTACTTTGTTTTCCCCGGGTTAATTAAAAGGTGGTTTTCACAGCACCAACTTGCAACTCTGTGTAGGTCTCGCTCGAGATTTGCAATTGCTGCATCAATCTGACGTAATGGGAAGGAGAGGAGAACTTTCGAGTCATCAACGTACGATTCAAGGCTGGAGTCACGAGATACGGAGGGAAGATCGTTCAAGTAAATACAAAATAATAATGGTGAAAGCGTCGCACCTTGGGGTACTCCGTGAGTGATTGGTAGTGGATCAGATAGGGCGGAGTTGATGCGGGTGGACTGAAAGCGATCTGACAAGTAGCTTTTAAACCACTGTACTGTTGCTGGGGAAGCGCCGACATTCGCTAGTTTGTGTAACAATCTGTGATGGTTAATACTGTCGAAGGCTTTCGAGAGATCTAATAATACTAGAGCGGTGAGTTCCTTTTTGTCCATAGCCTCTAGCATCGTGTCGGTACTAAAAATGTTCAGGGTCTCTGTGGAATGGAGTTTTTTATTTCCGCTTTGATGAGGAGAGAGCAGGTTTTTGCTTATAAGATAGCTACTGAATTGTTCGAGAACAATTTTTTCACAAACCTTAGAAGCTATGGCAAGAAGAGATATCGGGCGGTTGTTTGACGCTACTTCGTGGTCTCCGTCTTTCACTATGGGAATCACTTCCGCTTCCTTCCATGCAGTAGGGAATGTATGAGAGGTTATAGAGCAGTTAATTATATGTGTTAGGGGTCCTAGTATAACAGGGAGACAGTCTTTGAGGATTCTAGAGTTTATCTTGTCTGGTCCAGGGGCTTTGTTCAATGGCAGGGATGCAATGACACGGCGTACTTCTTCGCTGGTTACTGTTCGGAAGGAAAAGAGATCTTGGGAAGGCATATAAACGGTCTCTAAAGGTGTTTCTTCTACAGTAATGTTGTTCTCTTCTGCCAGACGAATTGACGCATCTGCTGCATTTTTGCCTACAGACGAGAAAAACTGATTGAATTCATCAGCGACTGTCTTTGGGTCTTTGGTGTAAGCATGATTTTCTTTACTTTTTGATGGTATGGCTTGATTGATAATTTTCCAAAGAGAGCCTGGGTTGTTTTTATGTCGCTGAACTTCATCCAAATAGTAATTTCTTTCAGAATCTTTTAACATTCTCTTAACAGCTTTTCGAGCATCCTTAAAATTACTCCAATCAAGGTCGTCCCGAGTTTGTAAGTATCGGCGGTGTAGCTGGTCTCTGGTCTTCATGAGGTCCTTTATGTCCTGAGTTACAAACGGACAAGGACGGCTACGTACTTTGACTGTCTTTATAGGAGCATGCGAGTCTAGAGTAGATTGGATGGTTTGGTTGAATGTGTCTAACATACTATTTACGTCACCGTCGTTGAAAATAGATAATAAGCTGTCGTGTGAGCTTCTGGCGAGGTCAGTTATGAATAAACTAGGCGAATAGTTCTTGTAGCTACGAACGGTTATGTAATGGGGAGGATGTTTGCGAGATTTCAGCTTGAAATCGACATAGACTGGAAGGTGGTCACTTATTGTTGTATTTAAAACACCGCTACGACGTACTAGCGAGTTCGAGGAGACCAATACAACGTCTAATAAGGATTGAGTGGTATTGGTGATTCGTGTAGGAGACTTTATAAGTTGGCTGAGGTTCATTTCTTTAGCAAAGTTGATCAATGCTTTGGATTCTGGACAATTCTGTTTTAACACATCACAGTTTAAATCTCCGAGTATTACAATCGGCTTATTTAACGTTAGTGCTTGGATGTAACTTGGCTTGAGAACATTATCAAACGAGCTTAGTGGGGAATCATCCGGACGGTACGTTACACAAATTACGACTGATTTTGTCTTTTTACACTGTACACTGATCCACAACTGGTGAAAGTTGCGTTCAGATATGTAAGATAGATCTTTCAAGATTACAGTTTTGAAATCTTTGCGAATATACGCGCAGACTCCTCCTCCTCGCTTGTGTAGACGATCAAGTCTAATAAGTTTATACCCGTCAATGTTTACCTCGGCTGATGTCACGCTCGTGTTAAGCCACGTTTCAGAAATGGTGATGATGTCAAATTTCGCTGAACGCACTAGTTCTCGAAGTTGGATAAGGTGGACATTATTCCGAAGTGAGCGTATGTTCAGATGGATAACTTTTATAAGGCCGGTGTTGACTGATATACTGTCCGTTTCAATCGGTTGATCCGCGCAAGTTAAATTGTGATTCTCAGGTTTGTTTGGTCTGATTAAAATCAGATTATTTAAGTTCCTCGTATTGGGTTGGACAACTTGGCTAGGAACAAACTCACTGCGTCTTGATGTTTGTAATGACGCGATGTCTGCAAAACAGCTCGAGGGGTGATTATACGAGGGTGTATTGTTTTGATTAGGTGATATGCAAATTTGGCGACCATGTTGTGCACGAGGAATGTTTTGATCTCGAAGGTAAGCATTGCGTTCTTTCACTCTCCTTCCACTGCGACAACCTCGAAATGGTCTCAAGATTCCGAGGGAAACAAGGCAATTATAAAGAGAAGTGTCTATATACTTAGAGGAAGGCGACGAACGAAGACTTCGAAGGAATGACGGCTTATAAACATTGTTTGTGTTGACGGCATTCAAGCATGACGACGCGCACTTTGAGGATTGCTTGGCTGATCTACATGTATTTCTCTCGCTGATTTCAGGACCAGGATTTGAGGATATATCAACAATGTATCAATGTTTATGTTGAAATGAACTATCTTCCTTGAGGTTTAGCTTAAAAATTAGGGTATGCTCATCACTTGAAACTAGCTTTAAATCAAAGCTTTATCTGTAGTCTTTTTATTAGAATTAAAATCATTCATGGGAAAAATGTGCCAAAGGGTTGAAATTGCCCTTGTAAATGTGCACTATTTTTGACATGTTTGGGTTAGTATTTTGAAAAGGTGTTCTGGAAGGAAGATGTCTTGAACAATACTGGTTGACCCTTAAATTATAACTAGTGTCATGTAAATCACAGAAAATTGAAAAAAATCTGGTCCATACACAATATTTTGGTTTCTATGAGGTTCCAAATGGGGCTTATTTCAATGTTGAATCTGTTTACCTGAAAAACTTAGAAAGTTAAATAAGTCAATAATTTGACTATGCTCATCATCCCAAACCAGGTTTTTCTAATTGCTTTTTTACCTGGGTTTGTGGCAATACCAGTTATGCGACCATGAAAAATGCGCGCGGCACTTTTTTTGGACACTGAATATGGTGACATTTGTTGTTGTCATATATTGCCACCCTCTTATCATAGCATAACTGAACTTATTTTAGTGAGTTTGTTAAATAATTGTGCTCACTATATGCCTGTAGTATCTAAGATTTTTTTCATAGCATTAGATGATAAATTTAAGTTCTGTTTTCTTTTATTTTTAGGTGATAATATCTGTTTACATGTGTGTTGGTATCAAATTTTGCACAAGATTGAATTATTATTTCACATTCCTTTATTGAAATATCCAAATAAATGGAATATGACATCAAGCTGGAGGGCTAAATCCTGTTTCCAAACTTGTTTTTGTAAAAATAGAATAACAACTTATTATATGTTGTTCTAATAAAAACTATTGTTTTTGATATGCATATTTAATTTTTGAAATTACATTTTATAAAATGTGTACCAGGAATACTGAAATTTTTCAGTTCAGCTAACAATACCTTTGTAACTTATATAGCCAAGTGTTCTATCTATTTCTGTTCAGATTAAACAAATGATGGCATTGATGGGTAAAATAATAGATTACATTTTTGCAAAAAAATGAGCTTGCCTGTTTTCAAAGTATAAAAAGCAATAAAATACAGCAGAAGTACTTATTTTCAATTTAAAACCTTTGGAATGCATAGCTTAATGTTTTCCACTAAATATTACAAAGTTTGCGTTCATTAAAATGTTGTTTTATCAGCTTAAAACCAGATAAATTCACGAAACACTCCTAATATATGTCGCCATATTGATTTTCTTCGCGAATGCGCAGACAAATTGCCCACCTGTTCGTGACAAATATGTTATTCAATCTTGTTTTGAAGGGCACGTGGTTCGCTCCCTGCATCAGATCTCAATCGCTTATTAGGAATATACAGAATGTATACAAAACCTGCGTTCGAAATTTCAATATAAAGCGGTTGTATTTTTTATTTCAATTCTATTTTGTTTTCGGATGTCAAGATAAATGTCATGCCTAACGAAAACTGTGCATTTTATGGTTGTTCAAGCAGCAGAAATCACGGGCTTTCATTCTTAAAACAGCCGTCGGTTCGTGCCGACGACACCGAGCACACCTGACAATTGAATAAAAACGCGTGAAAGCAATGAACAAATTTAATCCTGAGGACACGGTGTTGACTACAGACTTTAAGAAACGTATTGAAGCCGAGGGGTCCGACACGGCTGAAATCTCGTACACTCGACTCAGAAATCAACTGAAATCAAACCCGAAATCAAGAAATCACGAGAGAAATTAGTCAATTTTGAAATCAGAAATCACTAAAACTTCGTTATTATTGAGCCCACAGTCTTATATGACAGCGGTAACTCACAGAAATCAGGAAATCGGGTTAGAAATCAGAAAATCAGGTTAGAAATCACGTTAGAAATCAAGAAATCGCATTATAAATCAACAGAAATCCGTTTAGAAATCAACAGAAATCAGATTAGAAATCAAGAAATCAGGTTCGAAATCGCGTGATTTCGAAATCTCGTACGCTTCATGTGGTCGTGTCGGACCCCTCGATTGAAGCAAGCAACGTTTCATTGATCTCTGTGAACTTCATTTTAAGCCCGAATGCATTTTAACAAGTATGCTTGCCAGAAGATGTGAACACTCAATCAGTTCAGTTGTACATTGGTCGACCCAACATCTGATCACAACTTGGTTGGGTTTGCTGATTCATGTTCTCAGGGAAAGGTTTGTGTAAGATGGGTTAGGGGACTATTTTGGTCACGAACAAGCGAAAGGTGGACAAGCCTGACAACCCCACAGCCCAGCAGATTGGCTACAATGACCTCACCATTGCTGCACAAAGAGACATTGCACCTGCTATCAGAGAAAATGTGAGTTAATGATGAACCTGTGAAGAAAAGAAAAAGCCCAAAGAAATGACCTCGTACCACTTGAGTAACACTTGTTCTCATAATTTATTTGAAGTTATGCAATTTTATGAGTTGTCAAATATTCAATTCTCTTTTAAGCCCCCATTTAAAACCCTTGTGATTTCTCCTTTGCAAGTAAAAAACACATGAGTTGATTGTGCTCTTATTAGATTTACTAATTAATCAGCCTAGAATTTGACATTAGTAATTGAGAACAGTTGGCAATATATTGATATGTATATTGGCTTTTGTTTGTGCATTAACCTTGACATTGCAGCCTGATGCACCCATCCCTACTTTATTATCCCCGAGCCGGCGGCGCGAAGCGCCGTGCGAGGGTACTAATTCCCCCCGGCTATTTACACCCGGGGGAAACGAAAGCATTAGCGGAGTCTAAAGTTCATCAAATATCGCGGGCGTCGGTCACCAACGATGGGTGGTCATCCTCACTGATCTCAAAAATATGGCGGACTGTCATGAATAACGGACACTGATTGGTCCAATTTAAAGTTTGCATTATAACGGCTGTATGACGACAGCAAAATAGCAAACATTTCTTGATTTGATGAGTTGATGATTGATAAATTTCTTGCAAATATTCTTCATTTTTGCTGGTATTTCTGCAAGATTTTGTAAATTTCAAGAAAGAAAGGGCGAAAGAATCAGCTAAAAGAAGGGAGCCGACGTTAACGAAGGTAAGTTTGTTTTAAATATTGATTTTATAATGGCTTTAAAACCCGACGGCCTTTGCGTATATGAAACAACTAAACAAGACAGCATATAATTTCAGTGTATCTTTAATACTGATTCCCTTTTTTATTATATTGAATTTTTTGAATAAAAAATAAAGCAAAGTTGATTTGCAAGCGAGAATTTGAAATCATTTTATTGCAAACTCAAAGTTTATCGATAAAGCCATTTAATAGTTAAAGGCAGTTTAGTTTTATAAAGAACACTTTAAAACGTTTTGTGAATTGTTTGTGGTTGAATTTTACCTTAAATTGAAGCTTGTATTACGTATAATTACATACCTAACATAAATATGTTGGGAAATTGATAATTTTGTAATTAAAAGTGATATTTTTAGGCGATTTTCATTTGTAAGAATATTCTTAAAAAATTATCGTGTTACCATGACAACTACTTTAGATACTTCATGTTCGGAAAATACAACGGTTTTGTCAGCAAGGCGAGGGTTTCTGCATGCATGTATTTTCTAGTTTTACTCTATAAACACTAGACAGTTTTACCTGTTAAGGGGAGAGTACTGCCACTCAATGGGCTAATTCAGTATGAATTTGTATTCCTATTTTTCATAGACATGTTGTAAAATGACATCATTATAAAATTGCAAAGCTTACATAATCCAAATAATGAAAGCATTTTTATTACTCTATGTTTTGACCATCTGGAATAAGTATGTTTGTGGTGTTAATACTCTGAGTGTGCATCCCCAACAGGCAAGCTTAAAAGTTTGCCTGACCATGATGGGATTCGAACCTGTGACCTTTGGGATACTAGTCCAATGCTCTGCCAACTGAGCTGAAGGAACTAAACTCAATTACAAAATATCACCAACTTGAACCGACTTAAACCCATAGCTCAGTTGGCAGAGCATTGGACTAGTATCCCAAAGGTTGTGGGTTCAAATCCCACTGTGGTCAGGCAAACTTTTCAACTTGCCCGGTGTGGATGCACACTCAGAGTAACACCACAAACATCATATTCACCTTAGTACATAACACCAACACACACATAAAATATGGAATGAATGTAGTCAAAATGTAAAGTAATAAAAACATTGACAGTATTCAGAGGTACCATTGTTGTATACCTCATCAGCAACACAAAGTATTTGCAATTCTTGATAATTTGTTATCGTATCCTTACCTGTGTGCAGCACCGGTTGACAACATGCTGCAAAAGGTGTTGTAGAACATGGCACTGAGCCAAAAGGTGTCTGTTTATCTGAAGTATGTTTTTCCAGGGGTTAATTGTGCACAATCAAAATTTGTTATACACTATAAATTACTACTTGGCGAGGAACATATATGTATATATACTCATATACTCTGACAGTATTTACAACTGTCAACGTTCTAATAACATTATATAACTATTTAAAATATTCATATTGATAAAACAATCTAATAAAACTATCAGTTGTAAGAATTACTGCGAATGTACTTTCACAAGTGATTAACCTGCATGCTATAGCAATACAGTGGAAATCTGACCAGTGTACACCACCAAATTACCAATATCAACAGCAACTTCTGTCGCCCTATTATGGCATAAGTATGGTGTTGAAGGGTTTTTTTTGTAAATGGCAGTTTCAAATGAAAACTATACATAATTATATTTACATTAGACCTAATCGAGAGTATTTACCATATATGTAACTCTGGTGATCTGGTACAGCTCTCACTTCTGGAGCCTACATATTG